GGCTCACCAATTCAATACTCAATTCAACTTGTAAAATATGATGAGGTACATGGGGTATTTATAGTTGCAAAATAAATCTAAGCCTAACTCTACTAGATCTCCTAAATCTTGAAATAATAGAAATCCTAACTCTAGAAATCAATAAAATCCTACTACTACCAAATATCTAATACTTGGCTTGCACACCAAGCAATTCTAGAATGTCCCTAAGTCTCCAAATCTTGACCGCCTTCCATACGCATCGCGCGCGTCCGCCAGCTTGCGCGCGCCGCCTCACCTTTCCTACTCCTCTTGGCGCGCGGTAACCCGCGCTCTTGACTCCCACGCAGCATCCTTCGCGCGCGCGCCCCGTCCGCTGACTCCACCTCGCGCGTGCGTGCCCAGCGCCCCTGCGTCGCCTAATACTGCCGCGCCTAGGACTCCCACGACTGCGCTACACTCGCGCGCTCCTCATTGCCGCTGCCCTCCTCTTGCGCGTGTGTGCCGTCGCCCCGTACTCCCTTGCCTACGCGGTTGCGGTCCGCGCCTGCCAGCGCATCGCCCGTCTCGCCTAAGCCTACACGGCTTAGGCCTTCGCCCGTGTACGTCCACTCGCAGCTGCCCGCAAGCCCCGCACCATTGTCGGCTTCTCTGCATGCGTGCGCTGCCGTCTTTCCTAGGCCCCCAAGGCCTAGGCCTTCGTCCGCGTGTGCTCCCTTCGCGCACCCCGTGTTTCCCATCACTTTGCCACCAAACGCCAACGCGTCCCAGTCAACCTCCGTGGCTTGATCACCTACTTTGCGCCCCATTGCGCCCGTCGCATCCCGTGCTCGATCACTCGACCATTCGCGCTCATCAAGGTACGATGCGCGCCATACGCCCGATAGCCGATCTTCCTCGACCCCTTTGCCGTCCGACTCCATTGGCTCGCCCGATGGCCATGGGTCCCATCCATCCAACCCAATACAATCACCAGCTGGTCAAATCCAACTATCCTCCATTCTACTCTTACCTTGCCTTCGAGCCTCCATCTTGCGAACTCGCCTTTTCCTCGAACAAGGCTTGCACCAACACTTCTCTTCTTTAGCCTTCGCCTTATCTTTCCTTCGAGCTCTTTTGGTCTTGCGTCTCCTAGGCTTAAGTTTAGCTCGTGGACCCCTTCCTTTCGGCCAATCCCTCACACATGATGGCCGATAAATAGGACTAGATTGCTCCTCCAACATATTTTCTAGCCAAATATCGAGACCATCGCCACCTTCATCCTCTGACTCGCCTGGGTTGATGACCACTTCCGAATCATTCCCCTCCTCTTCGAGACTTTCCTTGTCCTCAAGGATCAAAAAATTTAGCTCTCCTTCCTCTTCATGGTCATGAGCATCGATCACCATTGCTTCTCGGGCTTCCATGAGTTGACGCTCGTACTCTTCAATATTCCTTCGCTCATGAAGCTCATCAAGATATGTTGTTTCCCATGGTGTGAGCTCCCTTTCCAAGCCTTCCAACATCTCCAGATCTTCCCAATCTAACTCATCCAATGGTGGGTAAGACATTTTTTTTTTTACTCTAAAAAAATTCGAACAAAATTCGAACCAAACAATAAAAAATAAAACAAAGAGAAATTCGGCCCTCAACAAAAGGTAATAACCGAAAAAATAAACAAAACAAAGGACTAGATGCAACTTTTTTTTAAGACTCAAATTCAAAAATAAAAGGGAAAATTCGAACAAAAATTCGAATCCCAACAAAAAATAAAGAGAAATTCGGCCCCTCAGCAAAAAGGCAAACCGAAAAAAAAGAAAAAGATAGATAGATAACAATCCGATCAGCACCTCTCAATGAAAGCACCAATGATGACGGATCGTGTTGTTATCTATACGATTGTGAACAAACGGCGCACTCAGGGCCTTCGTTTTCCACGATAGGTGTATCTAACAGACGCACTACGACCTTCTCATAGATACCGTGAATTCAAGACGCTATAATGGCCTTCTCTCCGACACTGTATGTAAACTCGCACTAACGGCCTTGTTTAAACACACGTTAAGAACATCAGTTCCCCCTCAAGATTGGCTCACCAATTCAATACTCAATTCAACTTGTAAAATATGATGAGGTACATGGGGTATTTATAGTTGCAAAATAAATCTAAGCCCAACTCTACTAGATCTCCTAAATGTTGCAATAATAGAAATCCTAACACTAGAAAGCAATAAAATCCTACTACTTCCAAATAACTAATGCTTGGCTTGCACACCAAGCAATTCTAGAATGTCCCTAAGTCTCCAAATCTGACCGCCTTCCATACGCGTCGCGCGCGTCCGACAGCTTGCGCGCGCCGCCTCACCTTTCCTACTCCTCTTGGCGCGCGGTAACCCGCGCGCTTGACTCCCACGCAGCATCCTTCGCGCGCGCGCCCCGTCCGCTGACTCCACCTCGTGCGTGTGTGCCCAGCGCCCCTACGTCGCCTAATCCTGCTGCTCCTAGGACTCCTGCGCCTGCGCTACACTCGCGCGCTATCGCGCGCTCCTCATTGTCGCTGCCCTCTTCTTGCGCGTGTATGCCGTCGCCCCATACTCCCTTCCCTACGCGGTTGCGGTCCGCACTTGCCAGCGCATCGCCCGTCTTGCCTAAGCCTACACGGCTTAGGCCTTCATCCGTGTACATCCACTCGCTGCTGCCCGCGAGCCCCGCACCATTGTCGGCTTCTCCGCACGCGTGCGCTTCCGTCTTTCCTAGGCCCCCAAGGCCTAGGCCTTCATCCACGTGTGCTCCCTTCGTGCACCCCGTGTTTTCCGTCACTTTGCCACCAAACGCCAATGCGTCCCAGTCAACCTCCGTGGCTAGATCACCTACTCCGCGCCCCATTGCGCCCGCTGTATCCCGTGCTCGATCACTCGACCATTCGCGCACATCAAGGTACGATGCGCGCCATACTCCCGATAGCCGATCTTCCTCGACCCCTTTGCCGTCCGATTCCGTTGGCTCGCCCGATGGCCATGGGTCCCATCCATCCAACCCAATACAATCACCAGCTCGCCAAATCCAACCATCCTCCATTCTACTCTTACCTTGCCTTCGAGCCTCCATCTTGCGAACTCACCTTTTCCTCAAACAAGGCTTGCAACAACACTTCTCTTCTTTATCCTTCGCCTTGTCTTTCCTTCGAGCTCTTTTGGTCTTGCGTCTCCTAGGTTTAAGTTAAACTCGTGGACCACATCCTTTCGGCCAATCCCTCACACATTAGCCAAATATCGAGACCATCGCCACCTTCATCCTCCGACTCGCCTGGGTTGATGACCACTTCCGTATCAGCTGGGCGCTGCGTTGGGGCGCTGGGGCGCTGCGCTGGGGAGATGGGCGCTGTGCTACGCGCTGGGGCGCTGGCAGCTGCGCACCAGGCCCGACAGACAGGCAGTAATCCAAATGGACCCGACCGTTTTAAAATTCACTCGACCGATTGAATTTAAATTTTTTTACACATAGAAATAGACTCAGAAAGACACGTTTTCACCAAGTTTTATACTCAAGACCTCAGATTAACCTGAGCAACCAATTTTTACGAAAAAATGATGCAAATATGAGTTTACAAGTTCTCAGGGAAATCCTTGGAATTTTTAAATAAAATTTGGACACAAGACACATAACACTAGAATAATGTCACTCACCAAAAATCACAT